TTTTTTTTTTTTTTTTTTTTTTTTTTTTTTTTTTGCCCAAATGCATTTGAATTGGGATTCTGTCATTCTCAACCCTTTATCTCTGACCCACTCACCATGATTTTTCTCCAATTTCCAGGTGTCTTCTGCATTTGCACAGGTATTGTCCTATTCAAATGTAAACGGCCTTCCTGGGCTGCCCACTACAGACTCACAGGCCAGGTAGGGGAAGAGGGGCTGGGAGCTGGGGAGTTGTCCTTGATGTTAGACAAGAAAGACATCAGCATTTCTGCCCCAGTCCCTGGTGGAAGGACCTGTGAGGAAGGGAAATGCAGAAGGGTTGTTTATCAGCTAAAGGAGCATTGCATTCCTCCTGTGCTCAGAATCCTGGTAAATCAGCACTCTCCATCTCCCAAGAGTCAGCCCAGCGCCATACTGAAACAAATCTTTCTCTTTAAAGTCATACGTTTTCCAGGTGGGTATTTCATTCAGACGATCTAGGTAACTTAAGAAAACACTTGCCATCTCCAGTCATTTGCAAGCGATGCAGAACGTGAAGTCATCAAACAAACTGGCCTGTCCATCAAGCCAAGTGTCGAGGAGGAAGGGGGAAGGAAATGGGGCGACTATAGAAAGGAAGTCTGAGGGGCTGTGGGGATGGGAAGGTCCTGCTCTTGGCTGTCCCCCCATTAATGTCCTGGTTGTGAGGCTGCACTGTTGTTTCACAAGATGTCACCTGGGGGAAAGAGGCAAGGGGTACTCGGGATCCATTCTATTATTTCTTAAAATTGTACTTAAATCTACAATTATGTAAAAACCATTTTTCTAATTAAAATAAATGTCAATCAAAAAACCATAACAGAAGCATGGAACTCTGGAACATTGACTTCCTGCCTTTCTCCTCACGGAATGCTGATTAGGAACATGTTTCAAATCCTCATTACCAGCATTCCACCAGTTAATTATACAAGCAGGATAGACACTTACATATCACTGGAAGCCTGGGTTTCAGTTCACAGATTTTCTTAAATAAGATTCTTGAGGTTTTTGAAATTTTTTACTTCTTCCACTTTGTTTTGGTGCATTTAAAAATTCGGCCTTGGGAGACTGTAGAGAAATGTGCTAAAACTTGTTCATGAAACCACCCATCCTGGTTGATAACAAATGTGTCCCACACAGTCACATTTGCCTAAGCTTCTATGCCATTCCAAGTGCAGGAAACCGTGCTAAATATTTATCGCACATCATTGGCTTTGACAAAGAGCTGTAGCATTATCTTATGAACAGATGAAAAGATGGGTTTGATTGCAGCTTCCTCACTGGTTTAATTGTCTCTTCTGAATAAATACTGCCTCTCTACCAATGGTATTAGTCCCCCATCTGCCATTTCAACAGTTATTATAAAAAATAATCACTAGCATGGATGCCAAGTGATAACCCAGTTTATTTTATAATTTTCTCTATTGTGTTGAAAAGCTCTCTCCCTCGGGTAGTGAGAGTGAGCACTATTTTTCCCCCAGTCTTGGTAACACTCACCATTGTCAACAGCATGAAGAGTGATTGTGTAAAAGCTATCATGTACGTGAGGGGACTCGGTCAGAGTGCTTCCCCGGTGGTGATCACTCCTGAGTTTCCATCCACAGTGACCCCATCTGCCAGATCACGGGCCAGTTCATATCTTGTAGAAGGAAAACAAACACACATTTTAAAATTTAAAAATTACATTCAAAGACAAATCAAAATAATTATGGTCTAGGAGCACCATTCCTATCACAAGCAATGTGGAAATTCTAAGACCCCTGGAGAACTTCACTAACCCTGCAAGGCTCACTTCAAAGCAAGGCCCCAGGGTCGCAGTGGGTGATCTAGCCCAGCCCCCTCACCTGTGTGGACCTGGTACCATTTTAAGAGGTGGGCACGCCAAACTCCCAAGATTTCTGAGAGCCCTGGGCCAACAGAGGGCATCACTTGGAACCAGGTCTGGTTGCTAACAACAAATGCCTCCCAAGGGGCCCACAGTAGCAACTTCCTGTACTCAACCAAACGACAAGCACAGGTCCAGAAAGGGGTGGAGAAGAGCAGTCCTTATTTGGTAACCTGTTTTCTAAGGGTTCAATAGCTATCATTCTCTGACTCCTTATGAGTCACAGTTATTAAAGGTATTGAAGCTTTTCCATTTAATACTTCACCTCTAAAGTAAAGTTTCAGAAGCTTTGGTGTCTTTGCAATGTTTCCTAACCAGGTGTAGAAGCTCAGAGTTCATCTGTGGACCATCTCAGGCCAAAGCATAGCCTGCTGTGCAAGCCTGGGCGTGAGAGGTTAACCACAAGGAATGCAGATGGAGCGGAATAAAACAACATCATCTGCACACCAGATTATCACCTCTGCCCTGCTGTATAAGACACCAAACCAGCACCTTGGAAGAACAGTATCTGAGGTTAAAGTGAATGGACTGTCCAGTTTTTAAGTTCAGCGCAATCCAAATATTTACCGAAATCTACAGCAGAGCCAACCACACTCAGGAAAACATCAAAAAAGATGCAGGGGTTCTCCATCAGTGGTTCCCAAAGGTCCCTGGCCAGCAGCACCACCGGTGAACCTACTAGAAATGCAAACCCTCACCCCAGGACTTTGCATCACCAATTTTACCAGTGGGGCCCGGCAATCTGCATTCAACAAGTCCTTCCAGGAGTCTGATGCATACATTGTTTGACAGCCACTGCTTAAGAGCTTCACTTACTCAACAGGCACCAGAGTGGTTTCTGGTTATCGCTCACAATGAGAATATTGCAGAGAGTGAGAACCAGCATGGAGAAATTCTGATAACCATCAGGATTGCTGTGTCCCCAGGATATGATTACTTTTCTAGCAATTAATTTGTAGCATATTGCACAAATTTTCACTCCATAACTCATGGAATTTTTTTTTAAATCTGGCTTTTCCTAATAGGAATGTTGGGAAACATTGCTCTAAGGAGGGGGGTCTCAAGCTCCAGCGTGGACAGGTGCTAAGCAGGTGACAGAGATGAACAAGGTGGACCTCACAGGGACAGGGGCCAACTGTTGAGCTTGAGCCTGAGAAAGGGCAATATGCAGGAGACCCGTTCTGTCTCAAATGGTCATGGCCCCATAGAAATAGACCAGACACCAAATCTTCCTCATTTTTTCAAGAGCATCCAGAAAAATCCAAGTACATGATCTCTTGATTTTTTTAAAGACTGAAAACTTTACTTTCAAAAACAAAACTCTTAATTCAAGTACTGGTGGGTAGATGAGTGGATCATCAAAAATACAGTAAATGCATGTGAAGAGCCAGGGACGTAGCTCAATGGCACAGCGCCTGCCCAAAACACAAGGCCCTGAGTTCAGTCCCCGGTACCCAAAATAAAATAAAATAAATAAGTAAAGGCACATGGCTATTCATCCTTACCAAGGGCAGAAACTGTGACATGTGCTCAACACAGATGCACTTTAAATACATTATGCTAAGGGAAGGAAAGCCAGACACTTAAAGACAAATGCTGTAGGATTCCACTCATGGGGAACTGAAAAAATCAAACACATAGGGGCAGAAAGTAGAAGACGGGGTGCTATAGCAGGTATAGAGCTTCACTTGGGAAGATGAAGATGTTCTGGGGGTAGATGGTGGTGATGGTTGTACAACCACGCATACGTACTTCATGCCATTAATCTGTATACTGCAAACTGGCAAAAATGACTAATTTTATGTAAACCTTAGCAATATCTAAAAATAAACAGCTACTTAGGAAGTCCAGAGCAAGAAGGCTGTCTGTTTCTCATCTCTGGTAAAGAAGGAGAAAGAACACATTGTGACAAAGTATTTTTGTACAAAAAAAAAACCTCTAGGAGAAACTTGTGCTGGGTGGGAAGGGAAATGAGCAGGCAGATTCTCCATGTTGGGGAGAGGCACTGCAGAATGAGGAAGACAGTTCAGCCCGGGTGTGGCTTGGATTTGGAACCCACCGGCTGTGCCTCGGATGCTCAGAGGCAGGACTTGTAGAGGGTGACATGGGTATTGCAGGTATAGCCCGGAGACTAGGGCCTGGGGAGGGCCCATCTTTGGGAGCCTGGCCTGGAAGCCTATCAGTCTGGCCCTGGCTCCTCCTCTCTCCTTCTGCCTCTGCCTGGTGACCACCATGACAGGAGCAGCTTCCCTCTGCATAGCTTCTTCCACCGTGCTGGTTCTGCCTTGGAGCTGGCCCACCATGCAACCTCGGATGGTGTAGCAGACGTCCCTGCCCAGTACTAGTGGGCTGTGAGTGGCACCTACTTCTTGTTACCATAATTCAGCCATATTGTTTTCTGTCAGGTGTTAGACTGAAGCTCTGAGAGGCTCAAATGCGCATGTCAGCTGGTGCACTGGGTGAGCACGGCCCCTCCCTCAGTGGCTGCCATGGAAACCGAGGCCCTGGTCTGGGAAGTGGCACAGCTCTGCTGAGTTACATGGCTTCTCACTGACTCAGTGGGTCGCGTGCTAATTGTACCTGGTCCCAGTACTGGACTGTTCTATCCAAGCCAAATAAGCAGCGCTTCCTCCCTAACAGCCCTGCCTGGCACAACCACGCCAGGCATTCGTCAGAATTTCACTAGCTGCCTTCTAAGCACATCCTGCTCCCTATTCCTTCCCATGACTGTATTCAATAAACACTGGATGTGCCTGGGGCCTTTGTCAGCAGCACTGACCAGATCTGAATCAGGTTCTCCACTCTAAGTCTCGTTTCTGTCTGTTCTTGAATTCACCTTGTGCTGTGTTGGCTCACAGTGGGCGAGGGCCCAAGGCAGAGGTCCTGGTAACGTTCCCTTCCCTGTCCCCTCCAGAGAGGGAGTCAACCTCAGGGACACACCAGAGGGGGTCATTCACCATTAAGAGTCCTCCTGGTGTGGACTAGTTCCACTGAACAAGCCACCCTTCCTGTCCTTCTGTCCTTACCTTATCAGACTTGGAGTTCTGACTGGACCCGTAGCACTGGAAGTTCCCAGCTAGACTCCAGGCCTGGCACTGTTCTCTCAACTGACCGTGAAAGGCAGGTGGGTCACAACCCTCACATGGCACTGGCCGCTGCCCTCCAGAGCTGCTGGGGCTGGTCCCCTTTGTAGGGGAAGAGCTGCTCTTGATTTTCCACAGCAGTGACAAGGCTGTGAGCTGTGTTAGTTTCATAATCCAAAGGCCACAGAGCCCAGAGAGAGGACTTCATTAGCACCTGCTGCTACTCTGGTTGAAGGAAAGATCAACTTCAAGTCATCCTCACCAACCCAAGAGCTTGTGGCTTTTGTGCTTCATTTATTATTTACATTGTCTTTGATAATGATCAAAAGACAGTCTTCGGCTCATTTTCAAATCACTTATGGAGTTCTTTTTTTTAATTCCCTCCTCCTCTCCTGGTTGAAAAGAGCCACCATCCATCAGAGGGTAATGAAAAATGCAACAAAACCCATCACTTAATGAAACATTAATGTGACAGCCAAGCTGCAAAAAAAATCAAGGGAACTTAGGGAAAAATAGATATTAATGATCATAGTTATCCAGGGTACAAAGTAGCCAGTGACTTAAAAGGACTGGAAGGCTGGGCACGCTCAGAAGATTCAATGGCAGGCATCTGGTGCACGGACTTGGCAGAACCTTAGTGTGCACAGTGTGGTCTGGGTGCCCCTGGCAACACCTACAAGTCTGTTACAGTGACAGGCAGAACTCAAGCCCCAGGCAGGCTGACTGCCTCAGTGTGCCTTTCCCCTGGGTGACTCACGTGTACCATGCAGGAGACTGTGGTGTCCTGGAGTCTCCCTGAGACCATGAAGCCCGGAAGCAGTGAGTCAGATCGCCCATTAGAATGCCTGTCCCACGAGCTGGGCCTGGTGGCGCACGCCTGTAATCCCAGCACTCGGGAGGCTGAGGCAGGAGGATCGC